CATCCTTGAGTTCTTGATGGGTCTGCTACACACACCTGCGACACGCCGAACGTTCGACACACGACAAAATAGAAACCGCGCACGAGACACACGACAAAATAGAAACCCGACCACGCGCGAGACACAAATGACCGCGTAACACGCGACTAGCGATAACTCGCTATTGACTTGACACATACAATCGACATCATGACTCATCATTCACACACTATTATAAGCATGAAATATATATTTATTTCATGCCCTCATACCATTCCATGCACACACGCATGCACGCACACGGACAACAAGCCGAATGCAAACCGTAGGGTTGCACCAACAAAACCCCTCTCGGATTGTTGGCCTTAGAATCTGTTGCTCTCAGTTCAGAGCCATCCCAGCCAGCTTGCAACACTTCCAATGCTGCTGCTCCACCAGCCTCTTGGTCATCATGTCAGCTGACTGCCCAGTCTTCTACACGTAGCGCAACTCAGCTTCACCTGCGGCCACCATGCTCCTCGTCCAGTGCCACTTCACCCTCATGTGCTTGGTGAGGCCGTGCAACACAGGGTTCTTGGCAAGTGCAATGGGGTTGGTCCTTGCTGCTCCTACCCCAATTCAGCCAACAAATGCCGCTGCCACACAATCTCCCGTACGGCACGGAAGAGTGCCATGTACTCGGACTCCACCGAGCTCAATGCTTGGTCCACCTGCTTCTTGCTCTCCCAAGCAGTTGGGCCTCCACCAACACAGCATATGAAGCCTCCCACACTTGTCATGTCCTCTGGTTCTGATGCATAAGAAGCATCCGAGAAGGCAGTGAGGAACAAACGTCCGGGTTCAACGCCATCCGCGCCCTTTTGGCGCCTTTGTGCCGCCGTCGAGTTTTGCAGCCCAACGGTCGGTGTTTGGCCAAGATACTTGGCCACCCTCATTCCAGCTGCTACCTGCTCCTCATTAGGGCATTGAACAACCCTAGCCAGCTGCCCGGTAGCAAACGCGACGTCCGGTCGTGTGTTGACTGCCGCGTACATGAGGCTGCCCACCAACGAGTGAAATCGGCGCCTCTCCTCTTCTCCAATGCTCTCCTCCTCTGGTCCCTTCACACACTTGAACTCAAAAGGAAAGGGAGTAGCCACATGGCCTTCACTCTGCCCAAAGTTGGCAGCCAACGCCTCCAGGTACTTCCGTTGGTGCACCCGCATGCACCGCTTCTCCACGTCTCGTTCAATGTGGAGCCCAAGGTAGAAGTTTACGTCACTAAGAGACTTGCACTTGAACTTGTCTTGAAGCTTCAGCATCACCTCCTTCACAAGGTCAGAGGAGGGTGAGAAGATGAGGATGTCATCCACATAGACCACCATGAAGCTCCTCTGCTCCCCCTCGCCAAGCATGAACAAGGAATGATCGGCCGTTGAGGGAGTGAAGCCGATCTCCTCCAATACTTCTTGCAGCTTCATGTACCACTGCTTAGGGGCGTGCTTCAGCCCATAGAGGGCCTTTTTCAGCTTCAAAACTCTGCCACTACCATCATCAAACCCCTCTGGCTGCTGCAAGAAAATCGCTTCTTCGCGAATGCCATTGAGGAACGCGGTTTCTACGTCCATTTGCTTCACCACCCATCCTTTGATAGCAGCCCCTTCGAGCAGGGTTCGCAGCGTCGTCGGTTTTACCACTAGAGCAAACAGCTTCTTAAAGTCCACCTTCTCCTTCTGCTGGTACCCCTTGGCTACAAGCCTAGACTTGTAGCGCTCGATCTTGCCGTCGGCATCGGACTTGATTGTGAAGAGCCACTTGGACGTAATCGCCTTACGCCCCTCCGGTAGCTCCACCAATTCCCACGTGTCGTTCTCCTTGATGCTCTTCAGCTCACTCTCCATTGCCTTCTTCCACTCCTCAGCATCACTACTCTCCAAGGCCTCCTTGAGAGTTGCTGGTTCCCCCGGCATCTCCACCGGAGGAAAGAACAAGAACGCAGATTCCTCGTACTCACTTTCCTCGTCATCTCCAACCATCATTGCCGCTCCGGCCAGGGCTGTCTTGCCTGGCTTTCCCGGTGCATCATAGGTCAGCCTATTAGGGGCTTGAACTCTCCTCTTTCCCCTTCCTTCCTCCTCAGCTGCGGGGACATGAAGGCCTTGGCGTTGCTGCGGGGTGACTCGAATCCGTGGAGCACTCGTATGTCGAGAAGGAAGTGTCGGTGCACGCTCGCTCACTTGCTGCACCTCCTCCTCTTCTTCCTCTGCATCCTTGGCCTCCTCTCCCCCATTCACAAGGGAAGATTGCCTTGTGGTGGTGCTGCCACTGCTCAGCTCCAAAGGCAGCTCCACATGCTCCAAGCCGGAACTCTTCACCTCCCCAAACCGCACGCCTATCTTTGCCTCATTCTCCGCCTTCCAATCCTTGTACATCAGGTTCTCCATGAACTTGCAGTCTCTGCTTACCAAGAATTTCTTGGTGAATGGGTCCCAAAGAAGCCATCCCTTGCTATTTTTAGCCATGCCCAAATGCACGGCCCATATCGCCTTGGTACCAAGCTTGTTGTGCCGAAGATGCTTAGGTACGAGCGCCATGCACATGCACCCGAACACCCGAAGCATATCCACCTTCGGCGTCCTTCCAAGCCACTCCACATAGGGCACCCATTTGTCTGCTCCCACATGAGTCAAGGCTCTGTTCTTGGCCACACACGCACTCCGCACCGCATCAGGCCAAAAGTAATCGGGTAGCCTAGCTTCAATGAGCAATCCGCGTGTCGTCTCCGTGATCGTCCGGTTCGCTCGCTCGGCGATGCCGTTCATTGCAGGGGAGTATGGCATGGTGAGGGAGTGCCTTATGCCATTCTTCTTCAGCCACAATCCAAACTCCTTGCTCAAGAACTCTCCCCCTCGATCGGTGCGGATTGACTTGAACATGGCCCACCATCTTCCCATCAGCACCCTTGAACATGGCCTTGCCCATGCCTTTCACCTCTGCTTGATGCCTCAAAGCCGATGTGACATGCTTCACCGGTGACGGTTCGAGTTCGGTGAGCAAGTCCGCGCGAGGTGTCATGCTATAGGTAGCGCCGCTATCGATCACCCAATAGTCCAGGGAGTGTAGGGTCACTTTTCCCACAGCTGCAAGCTCCTCAAAGCCTTTATCCTTCTCTAGTGCAGCCGGTGCTTGCGTTGACACGAAGAAGAATTGTCCCGGAAAGCGATCATCCCTCGACTCGCTCTCGTTGTCTCCGTTCTTCATATTTGCAGCACCGCCTCCGCGACCGTCACGGCCTCCACGGCCTCTTCCTCTCCCTCCTCCTGCTCCTCTACCCTCTTGGTCTTGAGCAGGGGTCCATCCATCAGGGAGCTTGTAGCAGTCGCGCCACATGTGTCCGCTCTTGTGGCAATAATGTTGCTCGCCATCAAATCGCCATCGGCCACGTCCGTAGCTCTTGTTGTCGCTGCCGTAATCGCCACTCCCGCGGCCTCCACTGAAGTTACTGCCACCAAACCTTCCTCCCCCTCGTCCTCTGCCTCTTCCTCGACCATATCCACGGCCGATGCTCGCTGCCCCAGCGCCATCCGCACTCGCCAACTCACGGCGGCGGAAGCCCTTTTGAAGGATTGCTCGCTTCACGTCTTCAAGCGAGAGGCGGGGCAGGTCACGATTCAAGTTGATGATGAGCGAGGACCATGACTCGGGGAGTAGGGCCAGCAACTTGGTCTTCTTTTGGAGCTCACTGTAGTTCAAATCTGCTCCCTCAAGTTGCGTCAACATTCGAAGAATTTCTGTACCCCTTCTTCCACGGGTTCATCTTCTTCAATTCGTAGTGTCGCCATTTGCCGTTCCAACACCACAGCTACCGCCGCTGTTGCAGGAGCATGTACACCCTTGAGAGCAGCCCATGCTTTAGGTCCCTTCTCTGGTTCACGCTGGAAAGGCTTGATGTGACGGATCTGGCTGCTCCCCAACGCTTGCCCAAGTAGGAGATAGCCTTGTGCGCTCTTCCTCACTCACGGGCTCTTCTCCGAAACGTTCTCGGGGCGCTTCTCCGTTCCTTCCATCACCTCCAGCAGGTCATAGTGATCAAAGATGTTCTCCATCTTGAAGGACCATTCAGCAAAGTTGTCACCGTTGAACTTGTCAAGCCCGAACACTCTTGGTTCATCCCTAGAAGGTCCAAGAGTAGGTTGCACGGACGCAATGGCTGAATCACGGGCTTGGTCTTGTGCTTGGGCTTCTCCAAGGGTAAGTATTGACAACGCAACATTTGTTTGAACGAACGGCACTATGGCAGTCACTATGGTCTTAGAACACAAAGTAGGAAGAGTTACGAGTTGGGAATGACTCCCAGCTCCTACAAACCCCAAGAGCCGAGGTACAGTGATGTGGAACAGTGCCACACTGTCCCCAACCAAGAAGGGTCTCGAAACTACCCTCCACAAGGGCCTACACCAAGAGAAATGTTACACTACACATTGTAATGTAACAATTCTCAAGATCTTGAAGTGTACCCTTTTCGCGGGCTTCGAGATCACTTGAATCTTGAAACCAAGGCTCTGGTTCTTCACCATAAACTCATCCTTGAGTTCTTGATGGGTCTGCTGCACACACCTGCGACACGCCGAACGTTTGAAACACGACAAAATAGAAACCGTGCTCGAGACACACGACAAAATAGAAAGCCGCGCGTGAGACACAAATGACCGCGTAACACGCGACTAGCGATAACTCGCTATTGACTTGACACACACACTCGACATCATGACTCATCATTCACACACTATTATAAGCATGAAATATATATTTATTTCATGCCCTCACACCATTCCACGCACACACGCATGCACGCACAAGGACAACAAGCCGAATGCAAACCGTAGGGTTGCACCAACACGAGCCATGCCGAATTGGGGGAGGAATGTGAGGGTGGAACGTGTGAGGGTGAAATGGAGTGTGGAGTGTAAAAAGGGAGGTTGCTAGAAAGGGAGAACGGGAGGGAGGTGAACGGGAGGGCGATCGGGAGGTGACACCCTCAATCAAAGACGGATTGACACAGTAAACGAAGCACCTGAGTGGTCTTGAGCACCGAGTACTCTTCCACACCAGCCTTCACTCGGTGCTGCCCCGCTGCATCCACCTCCACCTCCGCCACTCGCCTCTCCCTGCCCAGCGTGATCCCTGCCGTGACATGAATGCCATGCCATGCAATGCGATGCCATGCCGTGCCATGTCATGCCATACCATCCCATGCCATGCCGTGACGTGCCGTGTTATGCTATGCCATGCTATACCACACCATGTGATGTAATGTGATGCCATGTCATGCCATGCCATGCCATGCCATGCCACACCATGACATGGATGAGTGCAGTGCCGGGAAGGGTCATCATGCAGCAACACATGGAGCGGAGCAAAGCAGAGCAGAGCAGTGTGGTGCTGTCTGCCTGCCAAAGCAGAGATGAGAAGCATGGCCATTCCCCCAGAGTGGCTATACATACCAGCAAAATGGTGCCTACCGTAGCATAGACCATCACACCACCCCCCACCCCCATGAACTATTCACCTCCACCCCATCGCACAACACACACTACAACCTACCGTGGTTGTGTGGTTGTCCCCCCACGTGCACGCGCAGCCATGGCTGCTCCACAATGCGGATGGACACTGCTGTCACCTAGTGGGGGTGGGGGGGGTGGGGTGGGATGGAGGGTGGGTGCATGGTCTGTGCGAGCTATTGCCGTGGACGCTGCTGTCACCTGGTGGGGGGGAGGGGAGAGGGGGAGGGGGGGGTATGGGGGTCATGGTGGCATGGTGGGTGCATGGTGGCATGGCATGGCCGTCAGTGCATGCTTGAACACCAACAAGGGAGAAGACGTTGCATGGTGCATGCATGCTGTTAGCTCTCGCATGCTGCATGTCGCGCATGATGCATGCCGTTGACCCATGCTCTAATGGTGCAGCAGAGGGGGAGCAGGTGGGGGGAAGCTGTAGGGGGAAGTGGTGGGGGGAAGCGGCTCGGGGAAGTGGTGGGGGGAAGCGGTAGGGGGAAGTGATGGGGGAAAGCAGATTCAGTGGGGGAGAGCAGTGGGGATTAGCATAGAGGAGGGGAGGGGGAGATAGGGGAAACGGATGGGGGGGGAAAATGGGAGAAAGTGACATAGGGAAACGAGAACGAGCATGTGTGCGTATTGCACAGAGGGGGGGAGGACCGACTGAGTGTAAGGGGGGCCGAACTAACCACATCATAAGACACGAAGTGGCGGCCCAGATTGATGGCGAACGTAAGGGTGTGGTGTGTGCATAGTGCACTCGGGGGGAGGGGGTGGGGCCGGGGCCGGGCCACGTCATAGAAGAACACGAAGTGGCGGCCCAGCTTTATGGCCAACAGCTCTGGTGGTAACTCGCTGGTGCACTGCTTCGCCAGCACATACACCTGCACGCATGGAGGCAAAAACAAGCAGGAAGGGAGAAGAAACCATGAAAGTGTGAGTAGAAAGCTTGCTTGCAGCGGTAGCATGCATGCAGCGGTAGCATGCATGCAGTGGCAGCATGCATGTAGCAGTAGCATGAATGCAGTTGTAGGATGCATGCAGTGGTAGAAATACATGCAGTGGTAGGATGCAGCCATTGTGCATGCAGCACTCTAGTCGGATAGACAGGTGCCGCATGACCGCCACATGGCACGTCATGTCATGTCATGCCATTATGAGCGGCACGACAGCACGCAAAAGCAAGGGTGCCTCAAGTGAGAAAACCCCACCTCCTCCTCTGCGTCCCCACTCTCTGTAAGGAGACGCATCAGGTGGGTCAGGGGTATCAGATGTGCCAGGTGTATCTTTTGCGTCAGGTGTATCAAATGCGTCAGGTGCGTCAGGTGTATCAGGTGCGAACTCACTCTCTGCTCAGAGCATTCGTCACTTGCCGAATGGCGATTCGGAGTGCAAGCGTGACTTCACTTGCCTTGTCTCTTACAATAATGTTTATTTCCCCCCTCACCACTTTCCACCCTTCCCTGCGCGCCTCATCACCGCACTGCGTGCATCATCGCATTGCTCTTCCACTCACCGCACGCAAAGCCCCACCACGCATATCCCCGCACCTTGTTCTTCTTCTCTCCGCGCGCAACGTCCCACCGCGCACATCCCCACACCGTGTTCTTCCACTCACGGCGCGCATCCTCGCACCACGCGCATCCTCGCACCGCGCGCATCTTCGCACCGAGCGCACAGCACGCGCAGCGCATCACCACGCGGCGCCCATCATCACCGCACTGTGGAAATGACATTACCATCACCGCACCATGTTCTTCATGGTGTCGCTGGCGACGACCACCGAGCTGCAATCAATCACCGCGCGCAGCACCGCACTGCGCGCCTCATTACCGAACTGCATGCATCACCTCACCATCACCGCACCCGTAATTTTCATGGTGTCGATGGCAACGACTGTGGAGCAATCGTCACCGAGGAATGACGCGTTGGCCTTGGAGGTGAGCGCGATGTCGATGCTCCACTCCACCATCGCGTGCTCGCCGCCGCGCCGCCACACGCGCCCTAGCCGTACGCGCGACTTGCCGTGATGGTGCCTCGTTAGTGCGACGGACCCGCTGCTAACGCTCGTCGCCGTTGCTTTGACAGCTGGTTGGCGCAACGCCATGGTGGGAGTAGGCGGAGCAAGAAGCAGGCCTTATAGGGGAGTCGCTGCAGCAGTGGGTCACAAGAGCCGTGAGCCAAATAAGGCAATTTCTATGTACTAAGTAGTTTAACTCTAAGCAGTCTATTCTGCTATTGTAGGGTTCCAAAGCATCCCAACAATCTTTCTGTTGGGCTCTATGCGAGTTGCTGTGGGGGTAAAAAGTAAGCAGAGGGTATGAAAGTGTTGGTAATATTTTTTTCGTCTGAACATTTCCTTCTTGTGTCTCCCAAACGAAATCCATCTCGCCTCTTGCCTTTCGGTTTCACGATTCGCGAAGCTATGTTGAGAGACAGCGCGACAAACGACTCTGATTTTCAACCAATAGGTGTGAACACAGGGTGGCGATCGCGTGTCATGTTACCAAAATGATCTTCCTTTCTTCGCCAAACTAGCAAGGTCTCATTGGTTTGTTTGCACTCATGATCAGAAGAGGCTGTTCATACAAATACACATTTCGCGAAGTGTCACGTTTTTTTTCAGGAATGGTACCTTTGGTCTGTCATGTCATTAAGTGTTTGTGTCTGTTGCGATCAGAAAAACAGATCGTGCCTAGGATCACTTCAAGAAGGTTTGCAGAAATAGAGTGTTTCTGCGGAAGATAGTGACCTCATATCAGAGTGAATTTAACATGACTGATATGAGTACATGCAAATACAATTGTTTTTATATGAGTACAAGGGAATACGAAATGCGGGTCCTAATCTAGCCATGTACTCTAAGGGGTACATTCCCTTATTCGAATTCAAAACAAACCGTGCGGCGCGTACAGTAACGAAAACTGTTCCCGCCAAATTCCTCGCTCTTGTAGCTGCCCGATGTTGTCTGCTTCGATGGTCCAGATGCTTCGCAACCATGCATATCGCTTTGACCCTTCGCCTTTGTACTCTTTTCAGTGTTCTTCGTTCTTGCTACTGTCAGGAATGCATAGTAACACTTCACATTTCACTATTCGTAACACCCCCTTTCATTCATCGTCGTAGCAATTCTTGACTCGCTTGACTACTCCGCTAAGTGATGGTACTGCTGACGGGGCAGTCGCTTCGTGAGGAAGTCGGATCTCGTGTCACCCGTTGGACAGTAGGTCAAATCGACCTTGCCCTTGCCTACTTCGTCTTTGACGAAGAAGTACCGCAGCGCAATGTGTTTGGTATGGTTGACAAATCCAGGTTTGTTTGCGATTCGGATCGCGCTTTGGTTGTCGTAGTGCAGGCAAAAAGTTGGCGAGGTTGGGATGTTCACTTCTTGCAGAAGTTCCTGCAGGTAGAGCCCTTCGCAAATTGCTGCTATTGCGGCGATGAGTTCAGCTTCTGCTGATTACAGGGCAACTAGTTCATGCTTCTGCGAGTTCCACGAGATTGGTCCTGTTGGCTCGAGGTGGAACAGGAACCCAGTTCTGGACCGTCGATTGTCGGGTCAACTGCATGATCAGCGTCCACGTAGCCGATGAGGTTGAAGGACAGGGTAGCCATTGTTGAGTAGCGGAGTCCAATGTTGGGCGTGGAGATGAAGAACTAGAGGGCGCGTTGAAAAACTAGAAGATTCTCAGTCGTCAGTTTGCAGGAGTACTGAGCCAGCTGGCTCGTGACGTAAGAGAGGTCTGGCCTGCACGTTACTAAAGCAAAGAGCAGGCAACCCAGCTGCTGTTGGTAAGTCTGAATCTCAGCAGGGGACAGGGCTTTATTGTCAGGTTTGTGGTTCGGTCCAAGAAAGCGGTAAGGAGTGGAGAGCGGTAATGGGTGGAGAGCGGTGCATGCGAAATGTTGAAGTGTTTACCAAGTGTTTCTGCGTACTTGGCTGCTGAGAGATGGATGGCCTCTGGCACGTAGGAGATGTTAAGGCGGAGAAACTGCTTGACGTCAAGGTTGCAGGTGATGTCGACGCGCATCGTTCAAGTTCTTTTCGAACTAGTCGAGCAGCTCGTTGCTTGATCTGGTATAGAGCAAGTCATCGATGTAGACCTTGAGAAGGGTGTGGTCGCCGCAGAAATTGTTTTAGTCACGGTAGGCTTGAATGTGCCTAAAACGAAAGATAGAGTGCACAGTCAGATTTCTGCACAGCAAATTTAAACGTTCATAGCATTCTGGTCACAGCTCCAATTGACCTGATTTTAATTGGATCTGGAGAGTCTTTACGTTTTCTACAACAAGAAATTTAGATATCACGATTTCATCAAGTATTGACGACGCAACATCAGTTTGAACGAACGGCACTATGGCAGCCACTATAGCCTCAGAACACAAATTAGGAAGAGTTATGAGTTGGGAATGACTCCCAGCCTCTACAAACCCCAAAAGCCGAGGTACAGTGACGTGGAACAGTGCCACACTTTCCCCAACCAAGAGGGGTCTCGAAACTACCCTCCACAAGGGCCTACAATAAAAGTAATGTTACACTTCACAAAGTAATATAACAATTCTCACTATCTTGAGGTGTATCCTTTTCGCGGGCTTCGAGATCACTTGAATCTTGAAACCAAGGCTCTGGTTCTTCACCATAAACTCATCCTTGAGTTCTTGATGGGTCTGCTACACACACCTGCGACACGCCGAACGTC